TGTAGTCACGATTGCTTGCTAAATTCACGTTTCCGACGATTGCTTTTTGTTCTACACTGAGAATTGGTCCATATTTATTTTACACAGAGAAATTTATTAATCAATTCAAAACAACAGAAAAAAATGATAGGTCACCATACTCGTTTGCGAGAAAATGACGATTTACCTCTATGGCGAGGTCCAGCTGTAAACAAAAAGCCGCCATTTTTTAATGCGCGCGCGCTAATCACGTGTGAAATTATGCGCAGTAGGGATGCACAATGCAATACTGGGGAATGACCTTAAGGGGCATTCCCGTAAACGTAGCTAGGTGTAGCTAAGCGCATTGACCACTATGAACAACAACATTTGAACATTTATTATTGTTTCGAACATTCTATTAATGAATTTTATTTAACAGTTATTTAATTGCATTTTATTTTTATTCTTTGCTGCACAGATAAGAAACGCTTACTCGACTTACGGATTTACCGTCACCTCGAACGTTACAGGCCTCAGGTGAGTCTCTTTGGTAATTAAATTTTACGTAACATTTTAGCAGGCAAACCTTGCGCAAATAAACGTATTTTGTACCTTTTCTTCTATGTTTTCTTTTTAGTGAGACGCCTGATCGTGAAGTGTTAGCTTCATTCATAATCAACTTCCCCCCCGGACAGACCCCAAGTCTCTTACCTCTGCAGGGCGTTGTTCATGGAGGACTTCTGGGTGGCATCCCTGTATTCCGTGACTCTGTCCAGCAAGCAGGTTTGTTGGCTTATCAATTGTCAAAATGCCGTCTGTATAACGTTTGACATCAAGCTTACACAAACACTGGCTTATTTTTTATTTAGGTTACCCTGCTGCTCCAACGACTCCTGCTCCAGCGTATCTTCCAACAAATGCCTCAACAGGTGTGCAGCTGTATTGTTTGACTAATGCTAAAAAATAATCACTTCTTTGGAACTGTTGAATTCCCAAGCGCTAAATACAAAGCAATAGCATAAAGCAATCGTTCACTGGGGTATATTTTTTTGATTTTTCACCAAAAAAAAATCTTAGCCTAGAACCTGCAACCGTGGCAAAAAGAAACTGGAACACTCCGCAAGAAAATATACGAATACACACAGTCAACATTGAAACTTTGTCTCTGTCGCATGTACACAAAAAAACCGTATACAAACCTTTTATAGGTCCCTTTCTCACTTTAAATGACAAGCATTGCTTGAGTAATATTTTTAAGAAAGTAGCATTGAGGCCAGGAGGAAAAGTGGAAGGAGAGGGAGAAATTTGGTTGTTCGAGACATGCGCATGCATTTGCTCAACAGATAGTAGCATCCTGCATTTTACTCGTTCTCCCAAAAACATCTCGACGTTAATTTTTGCTCCTATGGAGAGTAGTACTGCAAGAGAAAAAACATGACACTACGTCACTCATATCAACCCTGAACCAACACTAGCTACCAGGCTTCCAGCCATATTGGGTATAAACTAACTCATTTTATTTTGCCTTACGAATTCTCCAGTTATGTCAAACACCTCTATGGCGCCTGTCTATCCAGTTCCCGCCTTTAATTACACTGCTGCCCCGGCCCCATCTTCAGCTCCTCCAGCATACAACGCTACAGCAGCTGCATCAGTCACCGTCCCAGTACCTACAGCGGGTGTTTCGTCTCCAACACAAGCAGCTTCCAATGCTACTGCAAGCCCAGTGGTACTACCGACCGGTTCCGGTTAGTATTTGGGCATTTTCTTTTTTTTTAACTTCTAAGTAACGGAAGGAATTGATAGAAATGGAAGTGGAATAGATAAATGCGTGTATTTTCAATGCTGATTTTTCCAGGAGTCATGTTGATCAATTGGTCTTCAAAGTAACAAAGTTCGGTCAGTCGACAAGATCTAGAGGTTAGGGGTATTGGGCGAGAGTTTTCTTTCACTCTCATCGATGTATGCTAACTGAATGAACAGCGAGTATGCGACAGTCTACATCATCTTACTGCCAAACACGCGAAGACGTTGGCTGAATTTCATGAAAATTTGTGCAAATTCCAAATTCGATAACAGTGTAAAACGTGAAACGAGATGGAGTGTAGGAAAGTTGACGGTTGCAAGAAAGTTTGGATTAGCCAGTGTTCCCGCCAACTCCCTACCCCTGTTTATTTTAAGCTGTTGAAACTACACACATCGTATCTTAGGGCGCCTGATTTAATTATGTATCAGCACATTCCGTTATTGTTTTGGAAATTTTAAGAAGGGCTTATAACAATTGCACTTCTTTCTCTTTCTTATTTCTGGTTGTTTTACAGTCACTCAGAATAATACCATGGTCACTAACACTTCTAACGTGGCGTCTGATCAGTATGGTAAGTTTTAACAAGTTCATTCAGACATTCCCATTCAGTAGTTCTAAATTAAATTGTTAAAATGAAAAAGACCAAGATTGTCTGAATGGGACAGCTGTTATGGCTCAATAAATAGGACTGAATGTCGCATCACATGGAGTAGGAAGCGAAAAGACTATCAAAACTGTCCTTTTCTTTTGGCGCGCAGACTTTTTGAAGACAATAGCAAAGGTTATTGAAATCAAGCAAGAGTTGAACAGGAGACAGATTTCTCTGAACAGCAACCAGTGATGTTTATTTTGTTCCGCTTCACCCCAAGCTACATGTAGTTTTCGTGATCAGAATCTTATCTCCCCTTACAGGTTTTGCCCAAAGAGCAAGGGTAACCCAAATTAAGGGAAATGTCTGGATATCATCCAATTCTGGGGACTAACTTAAAAATAGATGTAAAACATCTGAAGGATAAATGATAATTGAATCCTGTTAAATATGGTAAAGTTTGTTCGCCACCTTTTCTGGTTCCAACAATGCATAACCTGCACAACCTGCTAAAACATGAAATGGCTTATGTTTATTTGTTTCTTTTTCCATTTCCAATCCAGGCCAAGTTGCTAACGTTCCAACTCAACCAACGGGTTTCGATAAACTTTCCACACCGCCAGGTTATACTGGAGGGCTCATTCCTTTGCCAGCAGGTATCACCTAGATGGTTTATAATTAGTTCCCTAGTTCAGAACAATGTTAAATTGCCGTAAACAGAATTTGTGAAGGGCTTTTGTTGATGGTCTTATCGATAATGATGGGTTAAGCAGATCCTTCTAAAAACATACCCATATCAAGACTAGAGTGCAAAAACCATACCCTATTTATGACCAAAATGGCCAAAATCGATACCTTATTTATGACCAATACGGCTGAAAAACCATACCCTTTGGAGCCGCTCATATCTACATAGCCCATATAAGGGAGTACCCACAGGGGCTTATACTCTGATGAATCTACCTGACTCCGCTATAAAGCAAAAAATGAATGGCACTGACATCTGATTTTGAAAAAGTTCAAACGAGTTTTTAATGACCGTCGCCTTCGAATAAACGTTAAGAAATATTATTAGGGTTGCGGCGAAAATGTTTAGTAAATACAATAAGTTATAAGGCAGGTCTGATTTAAGGGTCAGGTCATAAACAGGGTATCGAATTTTTGGTCAGGTCATAAAAAGGGTAGAGAAAATCGCAGATTTTGGTAATAAATAGGGTAAGGGTTTTGGGAAGCGTGCTGCACACCCCGACCCAATTTTTCTAGGAGTACCTCCTCCCCGGCCATAGGCCTCTCTGAATACGCGCCCGTTTACAAAGTATAAGCCTCGCGTTGTTGTTTAAGGGTGCAGTGACGCTTATTCGAGGGCATCTGTTAATTTAATACAAACATTTTTGCTGTCAAAGTGACGCTTGTTCGACTGAATACAGTTTTCCCAATTTCCGTTTTATGTAGTTTTCTTTCAAGAGTCGTTAGACATGTTCGTATCCATTTCAGGAATTCCCAAGTCATGCGCGGAAATCCGCTCTTCTGGAATTGGGACCCAGGACGGCGAGTACGTAATTCAAGCACGGCCAAACTGTCACTTGAATATCATTTGTCAGAACATGGATGAGCCCAACCCAATAGAGTTCCTGGGTGGCCCCCAGCAGAGATACTGGCTGTACTGGCATTATGCCATCCTTATAAAGTTATCCGCTTACGATAAGCAGCATGTGGACAAGAGAGCTTGTCTCGAAAACACTGGTAAGCTGTCTAAAAATTGAGCACTGCAGAACTTGTATCTCATGCAGTCTTATTAACGCAAATTGATAGCTCATTAGTCTTAAAACGAGGGGAGTGTAACAGATGTTAATTTAATTGCTTGAGTACCCCCTTTACAATTATAAAGCCCCTTATAAACGCCGCTCTTCCCTTTCCACCCCCTCCTCCCACCCCTCCCGTGAAATCAAACGTTACCTCACATAGTGCCGAGTTGAGAACGACTTGTTCAGTTGAGCAGTAAAATTAACCCATTAAGAAAAACAAAACAAACATCTAGTTTTTGACTTGGACAAATATGGAGAAAAAGACATCCAATAGTTCCTTCCCGAATAAGTTCCCTCCCTCTGTGTAGCAACCTTTAACTAGAATGATAAGCCAGCGAGAATAAGAACAAACCAAACTTCTCCTTTTTATGAACAGCGGATGGTCGCCAGTTTATCACCAAGGTGATGGACGCTGGAGTGAGACAGGGAAATCCTCTTGTTCATTGGAAAACCAATATTAAACGCATGATCAACAGCTTTATTGGTAAGATGAAGAAAAAGAGAGACTTAGAGGACGTCACCTTGAGCACTAAAGCTATGAAAATTTACAAAAGGTGAGAACAGATAACGGATGTATTTGATTTATTATTTAATTAAACTAAAGAGTCGGAAACTCGGTAAATCTTGGTTAGAGCACTCCAGATCGAGCTTTCACACTTGTTTCATTTTAAAGTTGTCACGTAGGCCTAACTAGGCATGGCGTGTTGTGTCGATGCCTCAGGTTGCCAAGCAACCACGATGATAAAATCCCCGAGCTGAGTGTCTTTTCGACTTCAACTTAACTTGCTTCCTGATGGAAGCGGCAGAAACGAACCTTTTTTCTGAGACAAAATATGTGTAAGTGTCAAAGAACTAAAATGTGCCACCCCGTGGCCATGGGGGAGGGTTTTCCCTCAATAACGCAGGGACATGAGGCGCCAAACGGGTATAGCTTAAGAAAATTACATAGTGGGTATAAGGCTTAACTTGTGGGCTAGTCCAGAAATGGAGTAAAGAAAATCGCATATTTATACTCAGGGCTGCACTCCAACCCAAACTTTTGGGGATTACGCAGGGAGAATAAGCCCTTCTTTAAGCTCTCATGAACTGCAAATGTTGGATTTGGGCTCAAAACGTGATCTCAGGAGTCTCGTGAAGACTGAAGCGCCAGATAACAGATTGCTTCTGCATTGCAAACCCTGTACACGCTTAGTTTTGCATTATAGCCTAGTAACTGGGTTCACGCCACTGTTCTTTACACAGGGATAGGCTGAAACTTAAGAAGTTGACAGTCTTTCTTTTTTATTCTTAGGTTTGCCCCATGAAAGATGATTTTCTCGGAATATCAGTGGAGATGTGATTTTACGTCGTTCGTTTTTTCGCGCCTGAAAGTGCCCTTTTAATAAACTGAGAGTGTTTTTGAAATGTTTTATCATTTGTGAAAGAAGAATGTTTTAAATAGACGTATATTTATTTTAAAAATATTGCTTTTCAATAGGACATTTAAGCCGTTAAAAGTAAAGATTTCATGTCTCTACCGATGCAGATTTTTTTTCTAACAAAATGAATGATACTTTAATTTGATCTACAACACAGCATGTCGTCAAGAGAGATAATCAACCTCACAACTACAAGTAATTTGAAGTCCATAGTCAGAAAAAGAAATAATTAATCCCAATAAAATTAGTGTATTTTCTAAATAAGTAAACAGCTGTCAAGGCTCAGAAATTTAGTTGCAAAGTTCAGGAAGTGGATAATTCTAGATGAATATTGGTGTAGTCTCATGGCAAAAGTTTGCCGGACACACAACCATACAAAACTCTTCGACAATGTACTGTTGTACTGATATTTAACGGTTAGATACCATTTCCAATTCTTCCAATTGTAGGAAGATAGATTTTGACCAGTTCGTCTCATTTGTTGAAGTTGATTTATTTCATTGGCGTCTACTTAACGTGCTGTAATCCAAAGGAAACCGAAAGAGTATGAGGAGCAAGAGACTTCGTCCCTCATATAGTTCATGTTTGACCTTATTCCTAAGGCAATCACTCTCAAGCTATTTTTAGATCACTCCAATGTGCAGAAAGCCCAGAAGGGCCTAGAAGAGTGACGTGAATTTTTACTCATAGAGACATGGTTTTACATGCACTGTTTCAATCCTCCACGGAAACATCTCTGCAGCTCGAATGGAAAACGTATCTGCGGGAGCACTGGATACCATGTCTAAAAATAACTTGACAGGGATTACCTTGAGAGTATGTAATGCCTATACGGGGGATTACCCTTCATCCTCTCTTGAGGAAACTGCTTCCATTGGAGATTGCCTGCTCAAGATTTTAAATCTCATTTGCGTATGGTTGCTGATTCGCTTCTCCTCTCAGTGAAAATTTTCATTTTATGACTCGAAAAATCTCACATCTGCGAGAAATGGTAAAATGCAGATAAATAAGTTGAATTGATTAAAAACGGTTACGATTAAAAATACAATGCTTTCACTCTTGTTTTAAGGGGCATTCGTAAAACCACTCAGAAGTGTTGAATTGGCGATTTCAATGCTTGTTATATTTGGAGCCTTCTTGTGCCTCTCACAAATAAACCTCAATGATGTTATCTCTAGATAGAAAAATTTATGAACAACGTACGATGTTTTTTTAGATATTGTTATTGTTTCTCACGAAGTCAGATGGTTGCATGTGAATTATATTGGTTCTCTCGTTGTAAGCCAGTTTAAATGAGATCTGGATGTTGTTTACCACAAAGGCAAAACAATTAAAAGTTTATTTTGTCTAGAATATAGTTTATCTTGTTAATCTCTGTATATTAAGGTTACAGACCTCTTTAAGGGTGTTCTGTCAATACCTCCAGCGGTCTATAAAACCGATATATGCATGACCAAAGAAAATGCGTGGTATATTTGCTACTTTAATTAAATAACTGTCAATTCCATTTTTTTTTGTTTTTGACTCTCAGTTGACCAATCAGACTATTCCCGCTGTAACATGCACCTTACATGCACCTTCTGCACCTGGCAGAATTCTTCCTCATACCTTCTAGCTTCAACACGTAGACGACTTTCGTCAAATGCTGGCAACATAGTGGACCAAGTTCTTAAACTGATTCTTCAAAAATCGTCTCCAAAAAAACTTTGATCCTGATATGAGGCATCTTTCCATCCCTCCATCTTACGACCTGCCTGTAGCTAGGACTCTCAAGGAAGCAGAGAAAAGTAAATTATTTTTCCTTAAAATAGAGAAGAAGTGTTCACTGCATGGTTGGCATCAGTGTGTCAGCTCTGCATGGCTCTGGGAGGGAACGAGAACACTCAATATAGCTGAAAAAAATTCAGCTATTTTGGGTGTTCTTGGCCCCAACTGAGCAAAACGCGGTACAGTTAGTCGAATCATCGTAGCTAAACAAAATGATTGTACTGTAACTAATTAAACAACATGACCTCACTTAAACAAACGTAAACAATCACATCATTCTAGTAAAATATAAACCCAGCTATAAACGATAAGATAGGCCGGTATGGGAACTTAGGCGTTGAAGCTCTATTAAGCATGCCTTTGCTCCTTTTTAAAATACCATTCGGCTCATAAATAAGTCCTCTCTCTATAAAATAATTCAATTCAATTCAAGGTCCCTCACACTCCGTCCACCCATCCAAGAGATTTACAAACAGGAAGTTTATTATATTTTCAATTATACTATTATACTATTTTAGTTTGTAGGCAAAATATTCTTAAATGTATCGACCATTATTAGTTTGTTTCAATTTTCCTGAGCGGTCCGAGGTTTGCAATGCGGACCGCTAAGAAGGACGGCTCACGAATTAGAGTTTCGGTGAATTACTGTTTTCAAAACATTAGATAAAGGATAATTAACAATTTGTTGCAAAGTTAAGTAGAAATCTTGCTTTCCTTCACCTTGATTTCGCGGACAATTTCAGTTTAACTTCATAGAAAGCGACGTCAAAAACGAAAATATATACTTACCCTTTGGCGTGTGTATCAGTTTACCGAGAATGGATCATAGGGTGCGTTTATTTATCAGCTGAGTTTTAAAAAAAGCTATTATAGTAAATACTTTATATTGAGCTAGCTTCTTTGACCCGCGCTGGGAAATGATCGTCAGTAATTAGCCCTATTCTTCCATTATGAGTTGGCTGAGGATTCGGAACGGTCCTGGGTTGAGCGTTCTAACAATGGCGCCATAAATAAACTCGCTCAAGTCTCACTCGACGGGGTAATTTACAAACCGGCAGTTAATATAAGTAAATATCCATACATTTTGGACCTCTTGTGTCACAATATTGCCTGCTCTGACACATTTCCAAAACAGCAAGAGATTCATCGTACAAATTCGGTACTGGCCTTGTTTGCTTCAAAGTCAGTTACAACTGAAGACTGCAACTTCGTTTTCACAAAACCTCAAACTTCACATATCTCTAGGTAACCTTAATTTCACGCGTTGATAAAGAAAGGCATTTAAATTTTTACCAATTTTCCCACCAAAAATAAAGGTTTCATTCATATTTATCTATATTTCTTACATGACGAATTTTCACGGTTCGATAAACAACGCAATGAACTGTATATCACGGGAGAAGTCGGTTGAGAAAATACTCGCCCTTTGTTGAATGTTCAATCATTGTTTTCTTAAAAAAAAATGGAAATTTGCCGGTAGCTTTAAAGTTAAACCACCTTTTTAAGTTGACGGTTCCATTAGACGCAAAAACATCCTTTCAATTAATCTGGATAAGTCTTTCACGACACAAACAAACTATCAACTCCTACACCTGTGTTAAATTTACAAGAGAGGAAACCTTCACTCCGTTTGATAGACAGAAAATTTAAAATATCTAAAGCCGTGAATGAATGATAATGTGGTTGGGGAATCGTAGACTAAGGTTCAAACTACATACAAAAGATATAACATTTGTTAACCACATTCTCCGGGAACTTTATATACGTTTTTCCGTCACCGAAAACCTTAGTAGCCTTAGTCTGTATCCAAGTACTAAAACGACACTGATGTATATAATAACTGCATTTATGTGGAATCTCAAAAAGGAATATTGGCTTCTCTACCATTCATAGTATTTTATTTTTGCCTAAGAAGTTCCTTTACTGCGAAATAAACTCGTAACTATGTTTCGGAACATCTAACCTGACTTACCTTCATCTTGGTCTTTGCTAGGGCTCGGAAAAGACGAAAACAGCAGAGTCATATTGCTAGGAAATCTGAAACAACGAGATCGTCTCGCCGTTTTTGAGTGACTATGCATGTTTGCGGAAAGGGCACGCCGCTTTCAACGCAAAAATTCGGCCAATTAAAACTAAGTAAACACCACTCAACTACTTAAAGCTGCATTCACTCTGGTCGGCTTGTACATCAATGGATTAAACCTCGGTAATTAAACGACAATTAATCTGCAACTTTGAAAGCGAATACTGAAACGTTTAGATAAATTACTTGTCGTTTTAGAGGCGGTTCGCCCTTTTGCAAAGACGTTATGCTCAAGAACTTCCCTTCTCTATAGCCCGAATCGATTTGGCATGAATAAGTTTAACTCGCAAGAGAAGTTTAATGGAGTGTTTTTAAAAATCAAATGGACCCTTTATTCCTGTGTATACACGGTTAGTACTTTACGCTTTTAGCACTTTCAAGTTCGCAAACAGAGACGTGTGATGTCCATTTAACATTACACGCTTTTTAAGCTTTCTCGTGAATTCGTTTTAGAGCCCTTCCTTCGACCATTAGAGCTACTCGGGCTTAATGCATCTCTTACCGAAGATCGAGGATGCTTTTATTGTGAAGTGCAAAGCTTTTAAACTGGAAGTCGGTTTGTTTACTTGGATGTTTCTGTCGGAAAAAAAAGTATGATTAACGACTTTTGGAATATTTAACCACAGGAAAAAGGATAAAGTTTGGTTGAAAGCAATGAAAAAAAATTGTAAGAGAATCCGGCATTTTAGTTCGCTTTGATTGATGGTATTTTGCACTATCGAATTTTCAAGATCAATAACTTATTTCTTCATAAAATATTTCATTGACGACACCTTCTAATAGGCAGGTGCCGAGCACAAAGACATTCGTCAATATTGCCTTGATCGAGCTCTAAATTCTCAAAGCTAACATGAATGGAAATACTCAGTGATCGGTTTGGAGAACCAATATGTTGTACAAGGACACATCAGGATTCTCCTAATCATTGTCTTTGCCCATTTTTCTGTCAATTCCACTCAAGAACTCTGGTTCGTTTCAGTCGCTGATCATATGGCCTATAAATTCGATTATGTACTCATCGTAACAATTGGTCAATGCCATGAGAAGATCAAGTGAATTCTGATGAAGGTTGAAAATTACTTATATCTTCATATTTTCCATCTAGGAGAGCTGGAAACTGAAAAAAATTAACATAAATTCTGCCTTTTTTAAATTCCGGGAACTCCACTTGAATAAATAAAGTTATATCCCTGAGGCTAAGAATAAAGTATGGCTGTTTCCTAGGAGACCAGTCAGTTACTTTGGTAGTAAATGGGAGAGATTTTCAAGACTCTTTTACCACGAGGCACTCGGCTTCATCTATTAAAATTCCTCAAGCCTATTCCCAACAATTTTTGATCGTTACTATTTTTTGTGAGGGAGCATCCAGATATCCTTGAAGTATCTTATTTCCCGTTAGGCGTAGCGAAATTCATTGGAACTTGTGTTGTTTATCCGCAGTTTGATGATTCATTTTTACTTAAGCTGTCGCTCAAAAGTGTCCTTACACGGAAATATCAAACAAGGGAATGCCGTAGCAATTAACTGAACAAAGAGATCATCGTGTTAGTGCAATAACGCGGCTCTGTTAGTTCCAAGGCAGGCCGGGCCATACTTTAGGTTTCATTAGTACTTTCAGTTGAGTAAAACTGTCTTGTTCACTATAAGACAGTTACCATTGTTCAAGAGGTTTTACATGTTCTGTTTCAGTTCCAGTTGCCATATTATAAATATTTGATGTGGCCTAGACAATGGAACCACACCCTTAGGTTCAACCCGTTCACTCGACCACCCCTTAATTCATGCTACTAACGCTCACCTGTTGGAGTTTCATTCCTCTTTAATCGTGACAAATTTACTCTCCTTATGCGACCATTTAACAAAAACTGGACAGATTATGATAGAAAACAAATAGCTGAAGCTTGCGCTTAGTTGCAATGAAATACGTCTGTTACGTTGGGCCAGTTCAATGTGGCGAACAGAACAGCGATTATACGAGCCAGAATCAAATTCAACTCTCGCGAGTAGAATCAAAACTTTCCTCATTAATACGATCAGGTATCATATGGCCCATCATTGGACTCATAAACAGATTTCTGCTTGTAACAGGGTTTTTTTGTCGCCTTTCGCAGTGATGATGTCTTGCAGTATAAGAGCGTACAACGTTGTGAATTTTGTTATCTGCATTGCTCATGCTTGAGTGGGGCGACTCCTAATCGGTTGTTCTAGAACTTGTCAACTTTAATCTGAAAATACCAATTTTGATGTTCAAAGACGTTTTCACTGGGAAAAACAAATTCAGCATAAAAATAAGTATAAGAGCGTATAGAACAGACCAGGATGAAGGCCTGGGATATGGGTCAGTGGTCGAATGGTTCGCTCTAAGCTGTAAATGTGAGGTGCGTTCCTTGTGCCATAAAATTCTCAGTGCAGACCTCTCGACAACAACCGCCACCGAGCCATCCCAATATGCTTCATGTGCACGATTATGCCTGTCCGTAAATATTGATCCGACTGGCAGGGACAGAATCATGTGGAAACATACCATCTGTTGTTAATTTATTTTCATAGAGTGCGATCGTTGCAGACCCTGGGGTGAGAGAACGTGGTTATATATTGATGAAAACCTCAGGTAATTGTTACTCAGTTGGAAATTCAAATGAAATTTAAAACTGACTTGTTACTGTTTGGAGGCTTTGAACAGACAGCATGGACACAAAATGAAAAATATTGCATTACAACTATTAATTTTAAATGTAGCAACTAGAAAAAAACGAAAAAAAAAAAAAAAGAAACACAGCAATAAGGCTAGGAAAGAAATTTATGTTTCTTTTTTACATTAAACTTACCTCCTGTACATGTAAGCCGTACTGCGCTGTGATATTCAGCTGGCGCCACAAAGTCCAGCTTTTGTATACTGTTATTTATCTTCATAACCGATCAGATAATAATCGCAATATACCAAAGAAATCTGAAAACATTCAGAATTGCAAACTCATATTAAACTATGCTTGATCGTAAAAAAGCGTGTCCTCGTGCCTTAAGGGAAAATATATAAAACTGTTTTCTTATTTCCTTGTGCGCATACTTTTATAACTTACTGAAGGTTTTCGTAACCTGAGTCAAAAGAACAGATGAGAATTATGTTCCGTTCGTTTTTATCCTTTCAACATATCTTTTGATCAAAAAAAAGGTTGTTTTCAAATGTATTGTAGGAGGTCCTTTGTCTATCTTTTGTCTCTGCCTTTTTCTTTGTACGTGTTGATCAGAACAAAATCAAAATTGCAAAAAAAAACACAAAACTGGTTTCATTGTCAAGATTAAAATAAGCCAAATTTAGACAACCTAACCCTAACAAAATGTGCAACTGTTTTATCGGTTAGTTTTAATCCAATCATAGACAGACCACAGAATGAAACAATGAAATTGGCCCAAGCGTGCTGATAACATATTTAAAATAACCTGTGAATTTGTCATTCAGCCGACATCAAAGTCCAAATTAATGTCGACCTGTCGTCCAGTTTTCCTTCAATTCTAGTTAGAATCTCGTTAATATCTGAATTAATTTTCCTATTATTACCGAGTTAGTCTGGGAGGCGGAGAAGTACAAAGTGGCCTCATGTCGATAAAACTACTTGCACGTGCCGCGGTTCTGGACTTTTTGATTGGTGAAGGACCACAACAGAGAGATGTCAAATAGTTGTCGTAAACTTAGCGCGCGCTGCACTACAATTTTGTTCCTATTTTCACAAGATTATTATTCAATTGATTTTAAATTTCAATTTAACCAAATGAACGAGATCAGGTGCCTTTAACCTGTCATATAAAGAGAATGAATTATTCTCTGTACGAATTCAAAACAGAAGGCAGGAGAAACTATCAATTGTCAAAATCTTTGTTATCTTGCCTTAAACGTCAAGCTTATTACCTACTTTGAAGTTAAAACTTTTTTTCATTGAAAAGGTTGATTGTTCACCGTTAATGTGATCGTCATTGTGATATCTACAAACGATCTTCTTTCATATTCGATAAAAACGCCCAGGAGGAAGAGAATTTGATTAAATTTAAACAGCTTTTAGTTTGTAGTTTGAAAGTTATTTGCAGCAGTAAAGGTAGCCTGCTGGCAGGCTCTCGTACGTTGCGGCAGGTGCAAAGTCGATGAGCAGTTAAGGCCAGTGGTTTCACACTTGCACGAGAACATTCAGTTTGGAAGATTTCGGCGTGTTTAGAAAAATCCGCAATGTCAGGTCCATAATTTACGGAGGATGACTAGACCAGAAAAAAATGAGTTAACAGCACAGTATCATGAATACAATGGAAATATCATGGTATTAAAAATTTCCCATCTTTCCGCTTCAAGGAAAGACAACAAAACAATTAACCGGAACGTGACTTGTACAAATTCTGGTTTTGAGGATAAAAAGTACAAGTAAGTTTCCATCAGACAGTATGAAGCTGCGTGTAGAGACGAGTATCACATGGAGAAAATTGGTCAAAACAGCTAACCTGGTCTCGGTCATTGTCACTATTTTCCTGTAATTTGTCATGAAATGTCTAATATGGTTCAGGTACTTGTTAAGTGAAATTTACTCGTGTTACGCCCACAGACATTGCTGTATGCGGCGCTGGCCTTAGGATATAAAAACCCGTAAAGTGGACGCGTAACACAATCGCATAACTCTTAGTTCGAATATACAAAGTGACGTGCAATCGTATTAAGCAACAAAATCGATTTGTTCTGCAACAACGGTGGATTTAGCTGGAATTAGGATCAAGTTCCTCTGCTCCCTGTGAGGTTCCAACGTAGACGACGCTATTTGGGCTCGTCACGCAATCTTCGGAGTGCGTGACCGGCCATAAGGAACGCTCGGAAGTCTGGGAATGAGATGCCTCGACGATTTCTTTACAATCCTTCCAGACAGAGACCGAGCATCTGCCAAGCATCACGCATCTGCTTTTGAAAGGTTCCTTGACGGAAGTCATGCCGTCTTCGAACGTATTCTTCTTATTTTGGTTAGCCCATGTGCTCTATACGCTGTCCACACAGGGCTCAACTGTGGGCGAGCTGAAACGTGTTCAAGTTTATAACGAAACAGACGAGGCAAACCTGCATTTGATGTTCAAAAAATATGTCCAAACACACAACAGGACATACATAAATGATCCGGAGGAATACAACAGACGTCTTTCTGTTTTTAAGGTAGTACCTTGCTTGATTGTCTTGTGAAGAAATAGTTTAAGTTGCATGTCATATGGTTTGTTTATCAGCCTGCAAATTATTGTGAAGAAAACATTGTTAGTACTGGAGTGATGTACCGTAAGGAGAGGCTCTGTTTGTAGGGTGATTAGGTTAAACTGTGCTAAATTATAAACCTTCTAGCTTGTCTGATAGCATTGATTTGAGCGAGGCAAAAAGAATGTAATGAATACTGCGCTATCATTTAAGTGGCATTAATTTTAGAGACCATTTCAGAGGGTATCGAAAATGAAAGTGAAAAGTTGCTAGTTTAATAGGGGGAAAAATGTGAACATAAATTACAGCCTTTTCCTGTCACGTGTTTTGTAGGAAAGCCTTGCGAGACATGCCAGGTTAAATGCAAGAGAGTCTGAACTAAATGGGACAGCTGTATATGGTATAAATCAATTCTCTGATTGGACTCCTGAAGAGTTTAAAGGTGTGTGTGTGTGTGTGTTTTTACTGTGGTGTAATCAAGAAATCCATTACTTAATGCATTTTAGTTTGGGCCATTGTTTGAGGTAGATATTAGCTGATAAATGGCCTCTTAGTAGTAAAGTCTACACTCCAGCCCATAACCAGGGCTGTCATTAGTTAATTGAATGGGTTTCGACAAAACTCTGACCCCCTGTTGAACCCCCTACTGACCTCCCTACTGACCCCCCAACTGACCCCCCATAAAATCAATGGGAAAAACAAAATATAGCCCAGAACTATCAATAAGGCCAATTCAAGTTCAGTAATAAATTTAGCTTGCCTACAATTTCCAAGATTCTGGGTCAGTAGGGGGTCAGTGTTTTGTCAAAACCCATTTTGAATCTTGTGTTGCCTTGATCTTTGCACCCGTAAATAAATTTGTTTATTTGTACGTGAACTGTATTCATGAACAACGGACAAGTTGATCTGTAACATCAAGGGCTCATCAAACATACTCAGCCATGATAGGTGTTATACATGTAGGTTATGGCCTTTAAATATGACAGTCCCTAGTTCTCACTAAACTGTACTTTATATAGAATGGAGCAACTGGGAACTTGTATATTTTTAAATTTATACACCTCTAGGTGAGGTTGTAGTTCATCACAAGTTAGTCCATAGGGGCAGCATCTTTTGTCAGGAGACATTTAGTCCCAGGTGAAAATGCTGGGCCTGTAGCCAATAAGTGGCAAACCAAGGAACTTGCATCAGTCATTTTTATTTTTATTTTTTTATTTTTTTATGTTTTTGTTTTATTTTATCTTTTTTTTTTTTCGTTTTTGTTGGTTTTCTTGTTGAAGGGGGAAAGTGAACCACCACTAAATACCTAGGTAAAGAATTTAATCATGGACATTGTCTCAGTCATACGTGTAGTTTTTTTTTACTGTACTGAATGCTGGTGGTGTAGGCTACTGTTAACTGTAACCTTAAGTGCAGACTTTAAATACATTGGGGATTAGATGGCCTCAGTTGCATAACTTAAACCCTGTCCAGGTACTCTAGTCAACTACACTGTAAGTATATATTTAGTTAAATCAATAACATTGACAGAAATATACTATGTAGTAAAATTTTGTTGATGCCACTGCATGTATAGAATTTCTAAGAAGAGGAAGCCAGAAAGATCACAGCCTTCTCATAAAAAGTTATCAAACACTTGAAGACTGCAGCTGTACATTAAAACTGAATGCTTCTGCAACACCACATAACCATGACTGGTAGGTTGTACATATATACACGTACTTACTGCTAGTATTGTCAGTAACAAGTTGATGTAATACCCTGGAGGTGCTAAATTAATTTTAGATCTCAGAGGTAGGCTTTTTATCAGAACAGAACGTTTGATTTGAAAAGGTGTTCATCCTGACCAACTGCTCAATAACACATTTGCACAACACCTAGTAGAATATGCAGTGGCCTGTGTGTAAATATGAGTTATTGACCAAGCTTGTTCGGTCAAGATGGCTGAATATTGGCCAAGTTCTTTTCTTGCAAGTTTATGGACCAAGACGGAGTTGAGGTCCATAAACTCGCAAAAACAGAACAAGGCCAATATCCAGCCATCTTGACCGAACAAGCTTGGTCAATAAAGGATTTATTATGTGGCTTTTTGAGAAATTTTTCTTGTGGGACACGGTGGGTAGTTCCACGTGGGCAAGATAGCTCCATCTTGCCCGCTCATTAGCCAATCACAGCGCAAGGTTTGATTCATCTTGCCCGCTCACTGAGCTAGCCATATAATAATAGTAAGTACTGAACATTGTACCATACTGTTGTAAACTAGGGTAAACTGCTGAGTAGTGCACTTTGTTAGGCAACTTGATCCACAATACTGTGTAGTAACCTTTGATGGACTAGCATCCTATGCAGAGCAAGTAACTTTCAGTACCCCTAACTGTTTCATTTTCTAATTAGTTAGAAACTGGTTGTTAAAGAATAATTAATGATTATTGTTAGGGGTTTAAAACTGGCTAGTAAATGTTTGTTTCGTGTACAAGACCCTTCACATTGTTTCACACAGCTGTAGTCTCCATATCATAGCAATATAGAGGAGTTCACGCTTTAAGGGGCATAATGGGTAATCAGGGCAAATTTACAAAGAAGCACAGCCATAAAACAAATGTTTATCTTTATATTTCCATTCTGATTTCACATATGGAGATGAAACATATACTGTAGATGGAGAAACCTCTTTTCTAGGTTTTCCTGCGTTTTTGAGCCAATCAAGTGATTGTTATGGGCATAGGAATTCTTTTACTATTAAAACTGAATGATATGATCAGGCATTAGCCATTAAATTCCAAAAATAACATCTCTGTTACTCTGATAAAACAATGTAAGTAGGCTAAATGCCTACACTGTAGCTCAATCTACTCAAAAATGCTAGTAAATGTAGAAAGGGGGTTTGTCTATTTACAGTAAAAGTTTTTTCTCGAAAATGAAACTCTAGAACAGAAATATGAAGAACAACATACATTTTGCTGCTCTGTTTCTTTGCAATCTTGCCCTGATTACCCATAATGCTCCTTAGAGCATGAACTCCTCTATTGTAAGTTAGACAAGTTCACCAAGCTTAGCTACCATGAAACTGACTGCCTTAAGAAACTCCTGGAGCTTCTGTATCATTTTTGTTAGTTCTGTAATATTCTGAAGACGGCTCTTTATTTTAAAACAATGCTCTCTAGATTAGTGTTAAGAAAACTAGTGACAGCTTTTATCAGTCAAGTCATACATTAAATTCAAACCTTTACATGGCAAATTTAAAGAAAAATTCCAAAGCACCATGTACAATGTACAATGCACTAAGATTTTTATAAATTTATTTTGCTCAGGAGAAAAGAAGGAAAAGTGACAACAGTGAAAAATCAGGGAAAGGTACATTGTTTTTAATCTTTACTTGTTATGTTAATTTTAAAATTGTTAGTATACATATTACATGTACCATGATAGCTGATTTAAAATTGTTGTTGCTCATTTGTTCTTCGTTGTTTGTTTGTGTTCTTTTTCATGTCCTGCTCATTATAATCATTGAACAGTGTGGAAGTTGTTGGTGAGTACATGTTCAATACATACTTTACATACTTGTATGCACCTGTAATGCCACTGAGCAAAATATTGGGCAGGCACAACACCATCACTCTAGCTAACCCAATCAGTGAAATACTGAAATTATGCAAAAAGTTTTTAGGGCGGGAGGAATGGTACCAAGTATCCATTGAGGTGATTGAGGGAGCAGAAAAGGAAATGTACATGTATCACAGGGTCCAGCAGAGATACAGCTAATATAAATAAATACTGGCGAGCGCAAAACGCAGTCCTTGCAGTAAACTGTAGTCGCTTATAGTTCATATGATACACTGTTTATACAGTATATATGGGAAATTGTTGGCCCACCTTGATTTTGTTGAGGTCTACTTTTACCTAAATTACATAATTTAGGGTAAAGTCTGTGTTGGGCCAGGTGCTCCATATAATTTTCCAGAGTTTATCCCAGTTTCCAAAGCATGAAATGACTAGCCAAGAGCAGTATTTCTACTTTCTTCGTTCTTCCAAGTTACTGAACATGGATCATGTTCTTATTTCTTTTTTTTTTTGTTTTAAACAGGGCATTCACTGCAACTGAGTGTGTGGAGAGCCAGTGGGCCATTGCTGGTAACTCTGTGACAGAACTCAGTGTTCAAGAGCTGATTTCCTGTTCGAAACCCAAGGGTTGTTCTGGTGGAAATACATTACTAGCTTTAGATTGGCTTCAAAAACACGTGGGTTATAAGATTAAGTGGACTTCCTGGCAAGGCTCTCTTTGCCAACACTACATGTAACTTTGTATTAAGCACATACTGTTATATCAAAGCACAGACAGGTCTCTTTTCTTCCCGAAACCCCACAAACCGCAATATAATTATAATGATATTCATGTGATGCAGATGAATTAATTCACTGTCTCTGTTATGAGAGTCCAAATATTTGGGCTTTTTTAACTGTGTACTCAGGATAAGTAACAACTTTTCAATAACTGTGCTGTGCTTTATGTTGCTTGAAATATTGTAATCATGTTGTCAGTCACATACATGTAATTGAAAAACACTCTTTTTCTTCAGCATTACACACTTGCTCCTGCCACTGAATTTCCGTATGTTGATAAGGAAACAACCTGCAAAAATGATCTCTTGTAAGTAGACACTCAGGCACTTTTAATGTCTCCTGATAGGAAAATAGGAGATAGTTTTCCTGACAGAGGATTTTAAATGATGAATGATGCTAACAAGACCATCTAGCATTGTAGGCATGCAATGCGTACATAGTGTGATGTTGCTGTAGCCATTCACACACATTGAACCTATTATGCTAGGAGCCATAATGAGACAGTTATAGTTTATTTTAATCATGTGAATGTGAGTGTAGTGGGCCTTTGCAGCTAATTAGCCATCACATGACCTACTTTTCATAAAATTATTGGCTGCAACTTTAAGAATGCCAGAAATGGAAAGAGCATGTCAAAAAAATAAAAATGGTCAAGTTTGAGGTCCCTGGAATTATTGGCTGCAACTTTAAGAATGCCAGAAATGGAAAAAGCATGTCAAAAAAATAAAAATGGCCAAGTTTGAGGTCCCTGGAATTAAAGAATAAGATTTTATGATGGCTTGAATTTTTTAGAAAAAATAAGAAATGTTTATGGAAAAAGTTCCGTAGATATCCTCTAAATTGTCCAAAAATTCAAACTGAAGTATAAACTTACTCTTTAATGCCAGGGGCCTCAAACTTTGCCATTTTAGTCCTGAAAATTTTGCCTCATATGGTTGATATGTTCTTTTCCATTTCTGGCATTCTTTAAGTTATAGCCCATAATATGTAATATTTTAAAGAAAATTTTGGTCACGTGACCCCCGCTGCAAAGGGCCTATTATGAATTTGTGCTGTGTTCATCATATTTGAAAATTCTCTAACATTGCACTTGGCCTAAAATTCTCATTTGAGAAAATGTTCATATATTATGAGTAGTGTGAATGGTACAAATCCTGTGTAGATTTTTATAAGGAAATCCGTGTGTACATGAATGACCATTTTTGAGGATTTACCTTTAACTCGAATTATATATACGTGTAATATTTACCATTTTTCTTCTGCTGCTTTGAGTTAGGAAAGAGAAAGGTGTAAAGATAAAGTGTGGTTGTCCAGTGTTGAAGTAAGTATTTGTGTGGACAAATGATGTTAAAGCAATCTTAAAGATATCTTGATCTTAATGGCGGTCACTTATAGGAGGTTGTGGCTTACGAGAGCTTAGACCATACTGGGTGAAAATTTTGCTTCAGGAGCATATGGTAACTGTAGAAACTTACCCCATGTTTTTAAAATAATGTTTTATTCATGTGAAAAGTCAATTTCGAGAAAAAATCTGGTACTAAATTTCTGTCTCTTGTACTATCCAGGGATGCAATAATGCCACAACTCATGCCAATTTCCGCTCTACTATCTGTCAAGTGGGCGCTTATGGGAAGTTAAAAACAAAATAAAACTTCAAACTTTTAGCTCTAAAGGTAGTCATGGACACTTGCAAGATTTCGTCGCTCAGAAGAGGTTCCGAATATAGTGATTTGACTTGGAAAATTTTGGTATTTTGAAAGACTGGTCGCTGAGGAGAGGTGGTCGCTTACGAGACCAAGCCACCTTAAATTTTCAAAACTATAACGTTGCTCTGAACCCTACATGTATGCACATTTTCAAACTTTACCAAAAGTTGCATTTTATCATGCTTATTACAATTTGATGATTGAAATAAAAAAATTTCACCTTGCCACTTTTGAATTATAAGCCCCTAAAGCTGTAATTAAGGGTGTTTTTAGCAGGTCATACTGTTACTATGGTAACCTATTGTGTCACGAAAATGATAACGTGTTCACCAGTGATTGGGCAGTTTTTTTGATAGCATTTTTGTAGCATCAAGTGATTAAGAGTGGTTATTAACGACCCATCAAAATCAAAGTGCTGGAAAGTGCTTTGAGCCACCTTAAGGAAATTTGGAAATGGCATGTTCAATGTGGCCACCAAGTGAACGCCTTCTTGGTGCAAAGCAAAAACTTTAGGAGGGGCAGTAGAGACAAACTGCTTCAATCATGTAGTTGGTGCTTGCTTCAGTTACAAGGCTGACTGTGACGTAATATATCAAACACGAAAGACCGTGTTTGATCATATTTCCAAACAACGAGGTGTTTGAAGAAAAGGTCAAACACTGTCTTAAGTGTTTGATACATCGGAGGAATAAAATCCTAAAACTCTATGCCAATATAGATCAGATTGATTTTTTTTTTCTGTGTAAACTTGATGCATCATTAATGGTCATTAATGTTTGAGAATTCTGTTTTCTTGTCTTTACAGTACATCAGAGAGCACGAGGATGAAGGAACTAGTCGGTCTGCACGGTCCACTTGCTGTTAATGTTGATGCTACAATGTGGCATGATTATCTTGGTGTGTGCTAAGTGAAAACGTGTGAGAAAGGGGGGGTGAGGAGAATCGTACCCTGAGGTGTCCTCTGTAATTTGCAATGTTCACACAGCCTTAGCCAAGCTCTTAATTTCTCCCGAAACATAATTTGTGATCATCTGTGTAATAATGAACAACCGAACGTTGATATAATAGTGTTCTACTTGGGATGTGTAGGTTCTTTCACATTTGATGACTTGTAACAACGTCACGTGCTGATTCCCCCCCCCCTCCCCGTTCCGAGAAGCGTTCCGTGACGACCTGAATGACGTCTACGAAGGAAATTACAGTATAAACTAAAATTTGATATCGGTTAGTTTAAGGAAAGACAATGTTCATTGTAACAGTTCTGTATCTAAACGTCGCGCCACAGGAACATCACGCGATGAAATAATTTTCGTAGACTGGAGTTGGGCAAATTACGAAGGAAATTACAGTATAACCTCAAATTTAATATCGGTTAGTTTTAAGAAAAGAGAGACAGTTTCTCACCTTTAGGTTGTGCGTGATTTATTTTTTTTTGGGGGGGGGGGGCAATAGCTTGTTAGCCTGTGTAGCCGACGTTCATTATTTGCAAAAGCACGTGAAGGGAACAAAACTCCGAGCGAGTACGAAAAATAAGTAGCAGGGGGAAGGGGTGTGAAACCTTTCCTCCCCACACCCTCTCACTTCTCCTCCTTTTTTGCTCACCCCAGGCGCGCTCGTTTTTCGTTGGCTTGCTCGATCTCTCCGCCTCCGGCCTGCAAAATGGAAAGGAAACGAAACAGAAGCTTGTGGAAGAATTTTTTTTTCAAACGTAGGACCTGGATAGTAGAAAGTACTTGCTCGATTTTTCCCTCGTGGCTCCCCTCGCATGATTGTTTTTTTCCAGCAGGCTTTGTTGTGCAGGAATCGTTTTGGTTTTTTTTTTTTTTTTTTGGAAACTGCCCAACACCTCAACACCCCACTCACCCATTCAAAAAATAACGATGCGTCCCTTACGTTGTGATAATTAGCCCTAATTAGCCCTTTAATTTCACTACTGCTTAAGTTTTGTGTATAACTGCGATGATCAATCATGTATATATTTCTCCGCAGTTCAAATATATGATCTTTCATATATTCACTTCTATTATCCCTAACATCTGTTTGACATTGTTATGTCTATCTTATAGGTGGTATTATTCAACATCACTGTACAGACACTGATATTAACCATGCCGTACAAATCACCGGATACGACTTTAATGGTAAGCTGATGCCAGTTTTCAGTTCATACTAACCCTTAACAACAATTAGCTCCCAAAGTGGTTTAATAACTTGGCTTACTTGGCTGTAGTTACGGTCGAACCTCTCCACAATGGCCTCCTTGGGGACAGAGGAAAATGGCTGTTGTAGAGAGGTGGCCGTTATGGGGAGGTGTGGATGCAATATGACACCCGTTTTTATCGGGAGTGCAACATTTTTGTCAAAAATGCTTATTTTGGCGTATATGAAAATTAAAATATATCAATACAACAGAAACTAAATAGAAACAGAGGCTAACGTAGCGCGGTACGGATCAAGTTCGGTGACTCGGACCTTTTACAATAAAAATGGGGTTTTGTTTACCCCGTTCGTCAGTCGTTGATTAAAAACTGGCCGTTGCCGAGAGGTTATTTGGGCAGTTTGGACGAGTTTAGTGGCCGTTTCCTTTGTGGAGAGGTGGCCGTTGTAGCGAGGTTTTAAACTCTCTACATTCACATATATTTTTAAAAATAAGGGTGAATACATGGACTGTCCGCCAGGAACAAAAAAGTGTGGCCGTTGTAGAGAGGTGGAGGTTCAAGTGTACTACTTTTTTTTGAACTGGCGGTAGCAATCCCTTTTCAGTAATACACGTTTGGTTGTTGTTGGTTACATGGAACATTTCTCTTCCTCTCAGGCCACATATGGTACTGGATTGTCAGAAACTCATGGGGACCTAGCTATGGTGATAATGGATATCTTTACATTAAAATGGGCGATAACTTGTGTGGTGAGTATTGAGTTCTTTATACAGTTCAACACCTATTCGACGGCCACTCTCGGGGAAATGGATAGTGGCCGCTTAACAGAGGTAAAAACAATAGGACTTTGATTACTGGCCGCTCATTAGGGGTTCGACTGTATAACAGGTTTAAAGGAGCTCAGTCGCGCGGTATTCTGAGTTATTTTGACCACATACAAAATTACCTTTGAATTGAAGAAAACCTGAATATAGTAGTTAACTAAGATAGAAAAGCACCAAAGAGACAATAATAAACCATAAAGTAACAAGGATGGTTGAGGATGGAACTTGAAAAATTTAGGCTAAACCTGTAAAGATTTGCAAATGGTGACGTAACTCCTTTAAGTCTCTCTCAGTTGAAGGGTTCGGATGAGCCTAATGGATAATCAGTGCAGTTCTTCAACTTCGTTATCTGTAGCAATGCATTGATATTATCAGCAGTATTTCTGCCTCCCAAGATTTGATGCTGCTCCATCGAAGTTTAGTCCCAGCTTGTGACCAGGTTTCCCTAACAGATCGCTGGTACCCATTTAGAAGATTCGGAGTCCGTCAACCGTTACGCCACCGTACCTCCCTAGGTGCAAATAACTGCGAATAATTGTTGATTGGGGGTCGCCATTTCATTGTCAATACAGCCTTACAATATCAATGTGTTGTCTTTTTTGACAAGTATCAAGAATGACAGCAGTGGTAGTTTGAAAGACGGTAGCAATATTAATATCTGTTCACCAATTTGCGAGAATCAGCACTTGAACAAATGTGTAGAAATCCTAGTCGACAATTGAAGTAGACGACGAAAATTAACAAATGTTAATTTTTCTGTGGGTTTTGAGGAGTGTCTTTTTCTTACTATATTTCAGGTGTAGCTAACTCGCCGTCCTTTGTTGTAATATAACAAGACGAATCCTGTGTCAGCGCCAGACTCGTCCGCAGATTCTCGGCCGCTTTTTCGTTGGCATCATGGGAAGGATTTTGTTTGGCCGCATGGGTTGAAGCGAAGGCTGACCTTTTATTGTTTTTTTTTTTTTGTACTCTATTAGTGCGCCAAATCACGTGATGTAGTTACTAGGAACCATTTTGCTTGTAACAATAATTGCAACTGGAAGGATTTTGAACACTTTTTTTATTTAACATGTCGATTTTGTTTACGTATTTTTATGTTTTTGTAATGAAGAGCAACTGCAAGTTGAAAAGAATTAATGTACATAGTGTATTCAAGTTAACAAAAGTTGTCGGAGCGGTTTCAATTGAGTGTCGTAAAACCAGACTACTCAGCCAAATATCTCAAACCGTAGTAAAACCAAAACCAAAGTAATTGCCTGATTACTCTCCACACTCATTTAAAACCGTTCTAACAATGAGAAGTAAGAAGTATTGTTACAATTTGTAACGGAAATCTGCTGGCGCCAGTTACTTCCTCCAGAGGTAAATCTATAGAAAACAGTAATAGTAACAGTAACTCGGTCACTGATACTTGCTTATAATCCATCAAATATTTTCGCTCGCGCCCGATTGCTCTAAACGCGTCACGTGACTAAATATGCGCGAGATAAAACTGGGAAATATCCAAGTGATGTTCCCCAATTTTCAAAACTGTGCGTGTTACGAAAAATATAAAGAGAATAATCATGGACACAATAGCCCCCTAGCTTTTGGCCCGAAAATAGGCTCGGATATTTGTGCTTGGACATTATCTGTTCCAAGAAGCCAACAGTTTTCCAAGAGCGTAGCTCGAGGAAAACTGTGAGCTTCGAGGAACAGATAATGTCCGCGGACAAATATCCGAGCATATTTTCGCAACAAATGGAGGCTATTGTTTACATATTGTTCCGTATGTAAATTTAAAGTTACTATAAGTAAAAATCTTAAAAGATTTTAAATTAGCGAAGAAATTTACCGTTGGCGAAAAGAGACATTTTGGTTGATTTACGCTTGCGCGTAAATTCATTTTATAATTTTTTTATTCGATGTAATTTCATAGTGAAATAAAAATATAGTTTCATCATACAGCAGCTTCGTTTTGGTTATTCCATAGTGAATGTGGCGCGTTATATCAAGATTACTTTCTTTTTAGTAAGGGCGAGGCTGTTCCTTTGGGCCAACTCGATATCAAATTTTAAATCTTAGATAACACAGATCTGATATAGCCCGAGGAAACGGCAAATTTAACGGTTGGCACCGAACTTCTGAAAACAGTGGCAGTTGATAATATATCAGCACGTAATGGTTTTCGTCTCAGTTGAAATCACTTCGGCATACAAGAACCTTCACAAGAATCGCCTGTTGAAGATGATAGCATATATAATCAGGGGAGGAAACGATTACATGCAACAAAAAATGTTCCGGCATACTAACACGAGCAAACCGCCAAATAAATAGAATTCATAAACTGGGACAAAATTTATTTCAGTTTGGTCAAGTTGGCGAAGACAAGATGTGATTTTCAGTCGAGGTTGAGTATGCTTTCTCGAACTTGGTGGGAATGAGCTGTAATAGTTTAGAACAGATCTATCCACGTTATCTACCGTACTTCTTTCTTCATATTGCACGTGTTTTTTGAAAGGCCCAGGGCAATCCTTTCCGAATACACTACCGAGGGAATTAAACTGAGTGTCCCACTCTACCTTGCGCTTTTGGCTGTACCGGGAGTTCAGCTGATCTAGACCATCGAAATTTTTCGATGAGATGTTGATTTGAAGCCGCATTAGCAGTCTTGGTAAGAAATGAGGCTAACTGAAACACGTACCGGCGAATTTATCGCTCGCGCTATCGGGCTTATTTAATCGGGACGGTGTATTGGCGCGTTAACGTTTGACCAAAGTGGCGGTCTAAAGCACCTGCGCGCGGCTCTAATCAAACAAGCCGTCCGTTTCGGAAGCCGCCACAAATTTTCACGCTTCAGGCCCAAATTTCCGCCTGCGGCAGAAACTGCAACCGACTGATCCACTACTGACAATTTTATTTTTCATAACGTTTTAACTACGGACAATCAAAATTGGGAAAACAGAGCAAGATTAAAACCTAGGATTATCAAAATCATTTATTGTTTTATGATTTTCTTTTTTATCCAACTAAAAGAACACCTTTTTCAAACAAAAGTGGAAATCAATGTGATGATTACAATGTAACTCATAATAACTTTCTTTCCCTCTATGCCCATGCGTATTATTCAGCGTGACAAGATGGACTCTCCCACAGGTTTTGTTTCGCCATGTTCAACAAACCGCTTTCGTCTTTACCAATCAGCTCACTCTGGTTTTCCTTCATCACGCACAAATCTTTCGCCTTTTACTAAAGATTTCCGTGGGGGAGAGCAATTCGAATGAGTCTATAGACTAATTTTTTTGTCGCCCTGCCTTTTGACGGGGTACCTTACTAACAAAGAGAATTTACTCATAGTCCCGCGGAGGGAGATGTGAAGTTTCCACCTCTTCAGCAAGTAACTGCTTCAGCAGACGATCAGTCGTCCTCGGGTCATGATCATGAGGCTCTTAATGTAGAAGGAACGGTGAAAACAGATCATTGAAGTCATCTGGCAGTAAACTTAAAGACGAACATCGAAGGCTTCACTTCAGAGTTTAAAAAGTATCTGCATGTTTGACTTTCTCGGCTTAAAAAAAACCAGCAGCCAAAATTGGCTTTGGGAATGTGAGCTTAAGCTCTACTGCTTGATGAAGAAAAACAGCGGAACAAAAGGACCAGGCAATCATAACACATTGCTTTCGTGAATTCATTTTTGGTGAGCAAAGGCATTTCGAACTAAACATGAAAAATTTATTCGAAAGTTGCATTGTTACATGTACTTCCCATGAGGTCTGCTTTACCGATGCGCATTCTTATAAGTAGGTGTCATAAGATTGACTGTCCCACATGTTTTGTAAAGCGACGTTTAATATCAAGCCTTGTCTGTTTCATATCATGTAGCTCTGGTTTTCCTTCAGCACGTATAAATCTTTCGCCTTTTACTAAAGATTTCCGTGGAGGAGAACAACTCGAATGAGTCTATAGACTAATTTTTTGTCGCCCTGCCTTCAGGCGGGGCACCTAATTGAAAAGAGGTAAGCAGTGTTAAAACACCGATTGCATGGTAACAGCTGAATATGACGACGTCAGACAGAATCGATAGACGTAAAACTTCTACGTTTAACAACAACAGTGTGCGCCATCTTGTTAGTTGTCATAAGAACTTTCATAGAGTAAAGCTGCACTGACTATGAGGATATAAATACACTTTCTTCGATAGCCTGCGAGTAGGTTCTTCGCTGGGAAAGAAAGAAGGGTAGGCGGGCGTGCAGGCGGGCTCTTCTTCCCGTTTTCCTTTCGATCATTTTATTTCCTCTCGAAAAGCCTGCTCACAACCCCCTTTCTTGGCCTGTTAAGACATTAGATGCTCGATGGTTGAATATTCATTGTTCTCACATTCAGCCAGGTCATTTTGTGTTCAATTTATAAAAACAAAACAAATTTCGATTACACTACTGAGTGTGCTAAATTAACGGAGTATTTCCTTAAGCTGCGCTAGAAACTAACGAATTTAAATCTCTAAAAGACGGTTTGAAAAATAGAAATCTGTAAAAGAATCGAGTCTGACCAAACCTGTATCAGTTTAACGTTCTGGCGCGTGCCGGAATGCCGATCAGGTGGGCCTAGACGCCGTGGCAATAAGTCCGCGCGATTCGGGAAATTTACTGTTTCCCGATTTCGTCCATAAAAACGCAAACCGCACAAAAGTGTCATTAAAAAAAGCTAAGTTTCCCGCAGTGCCGTCCCTGTATACAAGCTAAGTCATCCGTTCACGAAATGTTTGTTTCCCAAAATGTTTTCCCTACGTACTGAAAGTCAAGTCGGTCCAAACTAGCAAGACAACGTTGAAACTGGGATTGTCAGAATCTGTCGCTACTCTGATTTCGTGCATAAGTTCATTTTTTTAGTAAACAGGCCAAAATACATTTTCGACCAAAACATGGAAAAATATTTATATATAGAAAAGTGCAATGCAACTTTCAATAATGTCCCCTTTACCGAGGCGCATGCTTTGAAGTAGGTGTCTTTAATCGAAACAGACTGTCCCATATGTCTCGTAGAGCGACGTTAGATAACGCGCCAGGTCTGATCACTGTTATGCGCTCTGGTTTTCCTTCAACACGCATAAATCTTTCGCCTTTTACTAAAGATTTCCGTGGAGGAGAACAACTCGAATGAGTCTATAGACCAATTTTTCGTCGCCCTGCCTTTTGGCGGGGCTCCTAAAGACAAACAATAGACTGCAAGGCTGATACTACGTGAAAAACGTTTCGAGACACCAACATGACAAGAACCGATAAAGTAGGATCGCAACGGTGGACAGCTGTTTCGCCCTTCTTGGGGCTCGTCAGCACTGTGTAACGAAGATATGTAACGCCAGCCCAACAGCCAACGCACATAAATTGCAAAA